TCTATCTCAGACTCGAGTCTCAAGTCTCTGCAATTGGGAAAATGTGATTTATGCACTTCGCTTTATGTAAAAATGTCATCAACAATTCCAGCAACAGGGCACAAATTAACTTTAGCACAGTGGGCTGAGGAGGAGTGTTGTGGGCCTATCCAGGCCAGAAAGCCGAGACGTGTTCCGTAATTCAATATCCTGCGGAGGCAGGGCTACGTACAGATGCAGTCGGTGGTCCCTGAGTCACTGGCTCAGAGGTCACATTTGGCAGCCAACTCGGTAAGTATTCCCAGAGGATCCGAATAATTTCCTACCCTTGGCACTAAGTATTATTGTGCATTAGAGGACTAATAAACAGGTTCGCAGTTGTCCTCGCAGTCGCATCCCCATTGTCTCGTCGCCGGACGACCTGCTTCTTGCTCATTCATAGTTTGTCTGGGAGTTTATACCTTCTACGTGATTTACGGCAATAACTCATCGGGCTCATCACAAGGACATGCTCTAGCCAGGCACCCGAAGCAGTCAACAGGCACCAGGCAAATCATGAGACAAATAAATCAGGAATACTAAATTAATTCACTTTTATTTTTTCTGGCTTTTCTTAACTAAAGCTTTAAATGGGTCTACTTAATATTTTGATTAAAAAAGTTCCAGGCTTTGATAAATTATTGTAATTAATATGAATAATATTATTTAATTTATAAATGTAAAGCAAAAGAATTCTTTAGAAAGACATTAGTTTCCAAATCGAACAATACATTGTTGTGGGTTTTAAAATCAATTTGGCTAGCTTTGTATCTGTATCTGAGGGATATTTTCCAGCTAAATTCTCAGCGGCCGAACCGCCCTAATGCCGACTTATGACACCAAAATATTTAACTGCTCAATTTTCAGGCGTTGCGCCTTCGACAGAGGGTGCGTGAAGGATAACAAGGGGTTACAGTTGAATTAGTCCAGTGGGATTCCGGTTCGCTGCTCCGAGGGCCATGGAAAGGGAAGATCAGGGCGTTTTGTTTGCTTTTGTCGAGGCGAGGCACTCCGGTGGCTGGATAATCACGCCGGGGTTGGGGGAAGCGGTCTCAGCTCAGCGACAATTGAGATATTCAATTGACGACATGAGGCCCAAGCAAAGCTAATACACAGTAAAAAAAATTAGAATCAAGTAATCCTAATTTGCTAAAGAAGTTTGTAAAGATTTTTAGGCAACAATTTTAAAGAATTTATATCTTAAAAGTAGTTATGACTTCATATTGAGATAGAAACAACACCCCTTGGAAAAAATTAATTTCAGTGTAGTGTAGCAACCACCCCGCCAATCAGCCACCACCCCTCTATCTTTGCTGTCCCGCTGAGCGAGCGATTAGTTTGGGAAGCTGCCCGATGTTGCGCATCCGTGAATTACAATTGCGGTTTCCTCTACCGGCGCCAACCCGGAATCAAGAGGACATACGGTGGATGGAGGAGTTCCGATCTGCCCCTGGCAAATCACTCCAGTTGTGCGTGTTGTTGTTCTTTTGCTCGGCCTGCACTTGAAATTGTCAGCAGGTGCTGGCCGGGCGTTGTAACAACATTTGCAACAGCGACACTGCCACACTTAGTTGCGAGTTGCAACGCTGGAATGGCGAATCGGAGGCGGAATCAATTTAACTGCATTTGGCAGTCGATTGTCATGGGCCGGCCGTGTGTGTTTGGGCCATTAATAAACATTTCGTCGTCTGTTTGTGTAATAAAAATGCAATTCCCATTAAGTGTCCAACTGGGGCGGCAATGTTGCTGCCGCTGACCGACCAGCTGAGACAGTGCCGGGGAAAATGGATTGCAAGTGCCACTTCGATGGGAGGTCAGCTCAATCAGGCTGGGGGGATTTTTCTAAAAATTAAGATTTTAAGCAAGACTTTCATTCATATTTTTCTTTTCTCTTTAATGATATCATACCAAAACAAGAAAGGAAAGCTAACTTCGGGCGGAGCCGAAGTTGATATACCCTTGCAGTTAAAACCGGATATATATCGCAAACATCGGATTTAGTTGGCCGATCCTTATGATTACATTATAATAAAACCAATTAATTAAATTACAAAATCTAAAAAAAAGTCCCAAGCTTCTATCGTCAAAAAAACAAAGTTTTTATTTTTACTAAACACCAAATACCATTTCTGATCGTTCAGTTATATGGCAGCTATAAGATATAGTCGGCCGATCCTTATGAAATTTGGTAGGTTGGATCAACTGACCAAAAATAGAATCTGTATGGAATTCCAGCATTCTATCTTCAAAAACACGAAAGTTGGGTCATTTCCGATCGTTCAGTTATATGACAGCTATAGGATATAGTCGGCCGATCCTTATGAAATTTGGCACGTCGTATTGTTTTGCCAAAAATAGCTCTCATGTTAAATTAGAACTTTCTAACTTTAAAAACACCAAAGTTATACCATTTCCGATCAATCAGTTATATGGCAGCTATAGGATATAGTCGACCGATCCCGGTCGTTCCGACTTATATACTGCGTGCAAAGGAAAGAAGGGTGTGTGCAAAGTTTCAAGTCGATAGCTTTAAAACTGAGAGACTAGTTCGCGTAGAAACGGACAGACAGACAGACAGACGGACAGACGGACAGACGGACAGACGGACAGACGGACAGACGGACATGCTCATATCAACTCAGGAGGTGATCCTGATCAAGAATATATATACTTTATAGGGTCGGAGATGTCTCCTTCACTGCGTTGCACACTTTTGGACAAAATTATAATACCCTCTGCAAGGGTATAAATATACACCCAAGTATATTCCCATCTTCAATACCATTTTTTGGAAAATATTTTCCACATATAAAGTATAATTAAGATCCATTGTCTTGGGATAAGACATGATATTTACGGCGAGACAAAGGCCAGCAGATTCGGAGATCCCTGATTCAAAGACTCACGAAAGGGGTGCGAAGCTGTTGAAAAGTCTTTAGTCATCGCCCCAAAATGATTTTCATGTTCAAGTAATGATGGCGGCAATAAATTCGCATTAAGAACGCCTCGAATAACTTCAATGGCAGGCAGATGTTTTCATGATCATCTTCTGAAATTAAAACTACTTTAATATACTCAAAAAAAAAAAAAAATACTTATGATCCTGACTGGCTGATCCATCGACCCCTCTGGCCATCTTATGATGGGAATACCTAAAGCTAATTGCGTTTAATTCGTTCAAAGAACCCGCATTGTAACTTCATAATTTTTACTTTTTGTTTTATATGCAATCATAAAAACGCTCGCCCAATCAATAATGTGAGAGATCTGATCCATAATCCAGTAGTACGAGTAGTATATTTTATACCATTCGCTCAACTCGTGCCCGCGGACGGAAGTTGCTGATTTTGTGACTTTTTCAGATCGTTTAAGATTGATTGATCAATGTTTTATGATCACCTACGCCTCGGTCAACGACTCGCAATGGGACTTTTGATCTTGGGGCTTTGCTTTTGTTGCGGGCGGCATGGGCGTTTGTTGATTAAATCGCAGGATGTTATCGATCATTGCATAAATTAACATAACAGGCTCCTCCATTTCCATTTCTCCATGTATTATTCTCTGTCATGTTTCTATTAATTTTTATTGCTTCTATGGTAATTGCAAGACATGATGAGGCGATTGATTGGTAATATTTTCACACATTATTTGGTTACTATATGTGGGAAGTTGCTCATTTTAGCTTCCAAAAATGTTGTAGTTCTTTAAATATTTATCGTTTAATTTTAATAAATAAATTCCCGTAAAAAGGGTTCTTTTTAGTTCTCAAATTCCCGGTTTAAAAACTATGTATTTCCCATAAATAATTTATTGCCATCACTCCAACTTCGAACCCCACTCACCACACCTTTCATTTAACTCCAAATAGACAAACTGTCATATGCAAAAAGTAACAGATATGTGGATATCGAAAAGTAACTCACCTTTTTAAATAAACGACTATTTGCGAGACAGACGGAAATATTTTTTATTGATGAAATTGGTTTGGCCAGAGAGCTCGACTCCATTTGCAAAGTAGACAATTTTCCGGTGTGCAAATTGCAGACTTGGGAATAGAAAAAGAGCGAGCGAGGGTGTGTGGGCGAGCTTATGTTCTTTCCAAGGACCTCCGCCGTTTGCAATTTGTATATTTTTTATTGTCAAATTTTGTATAAAGCGCCAGAGACCAGACCGCCAAGAAGAAGGTGGAAAATTCTACAGGATCTAGATGGTGGATTGGGAAATGCTTACCCTTGTCTCGTACGTGATACTTGATATCTGCGGCTGGACACGTTTGGGAATTGGAAGCCAAATGCAGGATGGTTTTACCCACTCATGATTTAATCATATAAGTTTGAAGACTCTTGTTTGTCATTCTGCAGAATATGTTTTTGATTTTTGAATATTTTTGCTGACATTTTGGATTATTGGATAGGTGCTGGGCAATTCCATTTATTGTTTCCCAAACTAACTATTGACATTCGATCCCCTTAAAGAAAAATTTCAGCTTCAAGTTTGCTTAATAAATTCAATTTATTTTTGAAAACATAAAAATACTTAGAATGTAGATTAATTCTTGTCTTTATAATTGTTATTTTAATATTACATACATTATTTTGTGTTAAACATTAAAAAGAAAATGTATACATATATATTTGTTTAGCATTTTTTACATACATACATTAAATATGTATAAATAAGTTAAAAAATTTATTAATTAGACTAAATTCATTGGAATGATATAATATCAAAATAGTTTGCATAATACAGCGATTCTGTTAAAATTTCACAACTATCTAGAAGCGAAAACTTGGAACATTTTGCATTAAATTTTCGTTTTCGTTTTTTCTTTTCTTGCATTTATTTTTATTACATTTACAAAGTACGACACGCACAGTTCATATTGATGGGTTTTTTTTTGGTTTTATTTTTTAATATTTTGTTAAATTTTGATTTTATGCTGGCACTTTAGCCATCGAAATAAAAAATTCACATACATAAAGAAAAACGTGAAAATTGTCCTTTGTTATGTCCTTACAATAAAAGTTCAGCGAGCTATATGGCAATAATATTTAAATTGTTATGAGAATTGTTGGAGACTGACTATAGTGTTTGATTTAATTCATTCTTAAAATTTCTTTGGTATTTTCATTGTTAGTTTTTATTATGTTTTTGGCAACATTGGAAATATGGTTTAACTGGCTTATGGCTGGCTTAAAGTTATTTAAATTGTTTTAATATTCTCCTTTGGATTTAATTTCAAGCAATTTTCAATGGGAGACGGAGCTGGAAAATGCCTGACGATGCTTTTCACTTGCCATCTATTGCACAATGATTGCGGTTGCTTTGGATTTCAGTTTGGTTTGGTTTGGGGATTGGATTTGGGTGTCTGAGTGTGGGTCTGGGCCTGGGTCTAGGTCGGGGTTGTTAGACCAGCAGGGAGACCTTCTGGCAATTGAGGGTGCCCATCTGGGGAGCCCCTCCGCCCGACGCACTGGGTGCCTGGTTCGCCGGGGATACTCCTCCGGCTACTGGTAACGTCCCCGCCCCCGCTCCAGCTCCGGCTGCTGCCACTGCACTCAGTTCAGCAGAGGCTGCTGCCGCCGCCGCCGCCGACATAAAGTCCACTTTGCCCAGGTGGACGCGCAGGTCGGTGTGCTGGGTCTCCTTGTGGCGGCGCAGGTCCACCTTGCGCTGGAAGGACTTGTGGCACAGTTTGCAGGAGAAGGGCTTGTAGCCGGTGTGCTTGCGGGAGTGGGTTATCAGGTTGGAGCTCTGGCTGAAGGCCTTGCCACACACCTGGCACTTGTGCGGTTTTTCACCTGAAAAGATGGACAAGATGGAGAAAGGTTTTAGTCAGATGCAGACATACTTTTAAAATTTTTAAAGGTTTTTGTTAATGATAGCTTATGGATTTAATATTTTATAATATATTTTATTTAGGAGCCTAAATAATCATAAATCATCAAAAGAAAAAGTTGACTCCTTTGGAATGAATTCTAATTTGTGATTCATACTTTAATCAAGATTGTGGCTCTATTTTTCTAGATATTTAACCAGTGTGCGCCATTTTGAGCAACTTTGATGCTTTCATTCCACCCACAACTGATTCCTCCCCCAGTTTGCACAAAAAACATACATATATAAATGCAAAAACTGGGAGACTCCCTGCTCGAACGTCAACCCCGAACCAGAAAAAAATGTGAACGTCGCCAGACAGAAAGCATTCCCAGCCCGCTGACTTAGACCCCAAGATTCCATGTAAGTCATCTCCGCAGACCACAATCCACCCCACCCAGGTGCTCAGATCTCGTTCCAGAGTTTTAAAATTTAAACTTTTTTGGTACATCTGTGTGATGTTCTGTGGTTAAGCTCGCACTTAAAGTCAGACTCTGTGTTTTTTGCGATTCGAGCCCCCAAAAAAAAATTCTTAAAGCAATTTTGTGGTCTTTTCCCCCAGTTTTCAGGATTTCCTCCCTATTCTCTGCTTTATACTCCATTTATTGCTCATTTTCATGCTGTTGAATTTTTCATTAGGGGATTTGCGGAGAAAACTGCTTTCGAAATGAATGATTTTTTTGGCGCCAGATATGTCATGAAATTTTTGACGTCTTGTAATCAAATCTCGGAAATTGAAAATGAAAAAATGGTATTCTTTTAGAGAAATTAAAAAGGTTTTATTTCCGGAATTTTATATTCAGAGGTCTGTTCTCTAAATTTATATTTTGAAGGCCTCTAGAAGTAATAATTTTGAGCCCCCTGAGCTATACAAAAACTTTGATTATATTTATTTTACCCCAAGAACGGTAAGGGAATATGTACATACCTACATATGTGTTTTCTCTTATCTATGGCACTCTGCTGAATGGAGATAGTGGCATAGACTTGTTGGGTTACATTTTATGTACTATATACACAAACACACACACTACCCACACACACATATACAATATATATTTATATAGCGAAGGAAGAAGATTGGGGGCGACGGCAACAAAATAACGACGACAACTTGCTAACTGGAGAGGACCTGACTCTGGGGGCTACCTACTACTGGGAATCGGGGAAAGTGTATATAAAATAAACAGAGCCGACGAAAAAAGAGAGGTAGAGGATAAAAGAAAGAGATGGGGCCACTACAGAGAGAAAGAGAGGCTGCAGAGACAGCGAAACGAAACGGAAGACAGCTTCGTTGTATATAATGGAATTGCAGCGACGTGATTGTGAAACATTCGACCGTAGGGATGTGCTCTGATTCAACTTTTAGCTCCCGCGGCATGAGGATTCCTACTTTTCTTGAGCAGCTGAAGGAGTGCTGGGATGGGGGTAACTGGGAGCAGGAGCTGGAGCTGGAGGAGGTCGAGCAACAGTAAAATTGAGTCGTCAGGCAAAAGTTGGCTCTCATCCGGCCTCACCGAGCATGCCTGATGCAGGAGCTGAAGGGTCTCTGGCCCGTTTCTGGCTCTGGGATCCCATGGCTCGGGGCACGTTCGTGCACTATCGGCACAAATAACGTCACGTAGTCGCAGAGATTATAGAGCAGCTTTTATTATTTATCACGGCCAAAACGACCCACGAACACTAACGAGACCAAAAAAAAAGCAGAAAAAAAGGCAAAAGTAGAAAATAGAAAGAAAAATCCCGTCGGCCGTCGGCAAATTAGAGAAGAAGCTGGAAGGATGAGGGTAACATCCATGTATCCAGTTCTAGTACTCTAGCTTATGTGCCAGGGTTAATTTTTTTGTTGGTTTCCTATTTCAAGGATTCTTATTGCAGCACATTGTGGAAATACTTTTAAATCATGGCTGCCAGTTGAATTGCTTTCCTTTTAGTCTTCTTATATTTTATGCTTTAGTTTACTCCACCCCCCATTTACCTCCTTCATTCTGCATTTGCTTCCTAATTCAACACGTTCGCCACATATCTGATGGCTGGGAAATTCGTGCTAAGCGGTGAGAGCCAAATCACGCATACGCCCCGTGGGCCAAATGGCTTTGGGTTGATTTAATGCAGTGGTCGGCACCCCAATACATTGATATGATTTTACCGCATTAGTGTTAGTAACGAATAGCAGAAAGTAGGCTGTGAGCATGACGTTTCACACATTTATACTGTGTGTGTGTGGCAGAGCTCGGGCAGAGAAATTTCCTATGCCCCCGAGATAGGGCCGTGCCGACCTCTGATTTAATGGAACGGATTTGACGTCTAGTTACGAGGGGTTATTGTATATTTTAGGGTTTAGATTAAAAATCAAAGCAGTTGTTATTTAATAGAGTGAGAAGTTGGTTACATTTTGTCTAAACATTATACAAAATTATAAAAATACTTAATAAAATAATAAAAGAACAGGTAAAAACTATCTTCTCTATATGTAAGTATTCATTTCAATGAATAGATTGTTTGGAAATGGCCTAGTTTTATTTTTATACCTAAGATACATACTTTTTTTAAAAGTCTTAATAAATATAAAATTGTAAAAGCAACAATTTCCACTTTAAAATATCGATTTTGTTTTTCTTTACTCACAACACCTTTTGAACTCCCAGCCACCTTAAGATTGAACTTTGGAATGGAAAACAAAAGTCATGAATAAATAAAATATCCCTATAATATTTGTTTTTTACCTCCGCCTTTTTATGGCGCATAAATTTAGGAAAAAGGAAATCTGAGGCAAGGAAATAAAACCGAAACACAAGAACAACAAGAGACGGAAACGGAAGCAAAACACGGGCCAAGCATATAAAAACCTTTTGCCAAAAAGTAAATACGAAAACTGAAGAAAGAATCCAGGCCAAAATGGGGGGGAAAAAAATAAAGAAACGTTGAAATTGTTCAAGGAAATCACATCAACTGAAGATAGGAAAAATCTGCTGTCTGGGATGGAAACACGTCTCGGGAGTGTAGAGTGAGCCGGGCAGGAAGGAACAAAATTAAGGATAAGTCGTAAAGAAAGCAAAAAAAGAATTCACCAGAGGAGAACCGTATAAAAAAAAAAAACCCAGAAGAAGCAAAAATAAAACAAAACAGTTGGTTGGGAAAAATCTCGAAATGTTGGAGCCAACATAGCCACATGTGCCACTTCGGCCAAAAGCAGTTGGAGGAGATTTCAGGGGCGCCGTAAGGGAGGAGGCACACGTCCTAAATCGAAGTCGGCGAACGATAAAAATGTCTGGAATATTTCTCTTTCTCTCTTTTATCCTTTCTCCCCCATGTATATGTATGTGCGTGTGCAGATTTCTCTTTCAGTGATTTTAACCGACGCACAAGTAAAGGAGGTCTGCTTATTAAAGGTTATTATCCTTGCCATTTGTAAACTGATTTGAAGGCAGACTGGAATTTTTGCTTTTTATGCTTAATGATCCAATATTCGTATATAAGAAAGAAAAATCTGGATGTTTGGCACAGAAACGATTGCGAATTTATATTTTATGAGTGGATTAGGCAAATAAATGAGGATTTGTTTGGTATTTTAGGTTATCTGGGTTTTAAAGGGATTACTTTTTACAATTGGAGGGGGTTTCTATTAGTTTTTTGGTTTTAAACGCATTTATTATATAATTTGAACTGTTTTTACTTGGAAAACAAAAACTTATTCATAGTTTTTTAATTAAAAATGTATTATAATGATATGAAACTGATTTCTTATAGTCATATAATGATATAAGACTGATTTCTTATAGTCTTCTAATGATATTAGACTAAAAATTTTAATTTTTTATAGCACTGGCTATAAACTTTCATTTCAAGAGTGGGAGTGTGTGTGTGTGTAAACCAGAATAAATCGCATTCGAGATTAGAAATTTTCACGTAGACATCAGGAACTTGAAATCGATGCTAATGTGCCAGCCAGCCCCACCCAACGGTATTCTCCCCTTTACTGCCTCCACCTATCACCCTTCCACCAAACGGTTTCTCACTCCCATTCCCTTTTTTAGAGCTGCTCCGCAATGGCGTTTCAGTTCCGTTTCGTTTTCGGGGGTGTATGCACCTATACCACTGCACCGCGTGTCGATGTGTGCGTCTCGTATTTGTTATTCGTGTGTGTGCGCGCGTATAAAACAGAAAATCAAAATCTCTTGACTAAATTTTTCATTGGTCGGCTGTGATTTCACTGTCCGCCTCTCGCTCTCTCGCACACACACACCGCCGCTGAGGGTATCTGTGTGCGAGTATCTGTGTGCCGAGTGCTTCCAGTACATAGCACCATTCTGTTGTCCTCGCTTGCCGATATTCTTATCAGAAAACAGCAGCTCTCTGCCTGTCTCTCGCATGCTCTCTCTCTCGCTTTAGTTTTGATGGCGTGTGTCTCTCAGCGTGGTGTTCTCCCTAGTGACTTTCCGGAGAGTAAGCTGGGTGCTCCATTTTTTTGCACCCCATTTCCGGTCCCCTTGTTACCCCCCCCGGCGAATCTGATCTATCTGCTTCTGCCGATGGCAACTGTAATTGCAACTGGCGACTGCGGCTTTCGGTGGTGGTTCGTTCAGTACTTTAATGGCGGGCTTTTCCCGTACTCCCCCTCCCCAAACAGACAGCCCCCAGTTCCCTTCCACCACATCCCCCATTTTCGTTTAAATCTTTGTTTTTAGGCTATAGCTAGGATTCACGGATTTAATGCTAAGTTTTTTATCTGTATCTTACCTGTATGTATGTAGGTGTGCTTCTTCATGTCGCTCTTCTGATGGAAGCGCTTGCCACAATAGTTGCATGGATAAGGCCGCGTGTCGCTGTGGATGAGCAGGTGGGTGGACAGAGTGCTGGAGCGCTTGAAACGCTTGCCACACTGCTTGCACTCGAACACCTTCTCCACGTTGTGCACCGCCCTGGAAAGCGAATGGAGAATGGTGGGCCAAATTAGTAAGGGTCCTGGCGAACGAGCTTCTGCCTTAATTAAGGCTTGGCTTAAATCCCCCCGAGGCACCGTGTTTTAACTACAGCCACAAAGGCAAACATTTGGTCAGGCTGAAATCCAGCCATTTTGGCTAAATTAAGTAATGCAAAGTGTCCACTTGGGTCCCAGACGAGGACAATGGTTAAAATGCACTCGAAGAAATTTGTAAATCCAAAAATTAATATTAAAGATATTTCATTCGTACAAAACCTGACCAAATGATTGCGAAAATGGCAAATTCCTATTTATTTTCAGTGTAATTAAGCCACGCCACCCACTCCCATTGCGGTAGAATTCTCCACATACCTGTGCTGGCTGAGGCTGACCTCGTGGCCGAAGGTCTTGTTGCACAGCTCGCAGGCGTAGGGCTTCTTGCCGTGGTGTGTCCGGCGGGAGTGCACCTCGAGGCCGTGGGGCGTGGAGAACATCTTCTCGCACTTCATGCACGAGTACAGGTCGCTGAATTGGTGCAGGCCCGGCCACTTGGCGGCCATGTGGTGGAAGTGGTGCAGGTGCGGCGAGTGTGGCAGACCCAGATGCCCGCCGTTGGGTGGCACGCCGACTCCGACGCCCACTCCAACGCCGACGGCTGCCGCAGCAGCTGCCGCCGCCGCCGCCGCTGCTGTAGAGTTGTTTTGTCCGGCGGTTTGGAGCGGCACCATGAGACTCCGTAGTCGGAAGAGATTTTCCTGCGAGTCCGGATGGTAGCTGCAGGGAATGATAAAGCGTGGGTTAGACATTTAATTGAGGCGAGCTAATTAAAATGGGTCCCGAGATGGACACTGTCCAGGCCCGGTGCCGGGTCCGGAGAGCTAAGGACTTTAGGAAAGTATCCAACTTACCCCGCTGCCAGTCCGGACTGCTGTTGCTGTTGTTGTTGCTGCTGCTGACCTTGGTGGAAGGCGACGGCGGCAAAGAAAGGAAGGGCGGGCGAGAAGAGCGGGCGCTGGAACATGGCCGCATCATAGTTGGGCGGATAGCCCTGGCGCATGGCCTCCAGGGGATTGAAGGGCATGGGCAGGCCGCTGGCGGTGAGGTGGCTCAGCGGAGGACTGCGTGGCGTCCGCCTCTGGGGCGGCTCGTCCCTACGCAGCAGAGCCGATACCGAAAACAGATCCGACTTCTTGGAGCCTATACTGGTGGTGCCACCATTGGCGGTGATCAACAGCTCGGAGGCAGATGCAGAGGCGGAGGCGGTGCTGGGCGAACTGATGCGTGGACTGCCGGGTGGCGAGTCCACCTCCAGCTCCACGGAAGAGCTGCTGGAGTGGGAGCGAGAGCGCGAATGGGAGCGGGAACGTGATCTCGACCGGGAGTGCAACGAGCGGTGCGAGTGGTGCGACTCCGTATCCTCCATGTCGATCTGGGAGGAGCAGCGCGATGGACTGCGAGACCTCGACCTGGACCGGGATCTCGATTGTCTTCGCAGACGTTCGCTGGCGCTGATGAAGGCTGGCTTGACCCGTTGGTGGTTGCTACTGTTGTTGTTGTCGTTGTGGTGTGGAACATGTTGCTGGTGTTGTTGGTGTTGCTGGTGATGTTGCAGTTGATGGTTTTTGCTCAGCATCGAGATGGAGTTGTTGTTGTCCTCCAAGGGGGCCAGTGGCTTGAGGCCAGCGGCCACCATGGCCGTCAGTTGTTCAGTCTTGACCAGTCTGCTTATGCTAAATGCCAGAGATGCATCTGAAAAAAAGGATACAGAAATGAGATACTTTTTTTTAATAATTGTTATTTTAATGGGGTAACCCCTTTCCAAATGCAAATAAACATTTAGCCAAATCAGAGCGAATCGTATACAACATCATCAATCACTCCGCAAAAAAAAAACGACGAGTAGGAATAACTTCGAGGGGGAAGGGCACCCATCCACCTGTACAGCCTCTCACACACATTCATACACGGATGTTGGAGGATGCCAGTTGGCAGCGTATCGAATTTCAAATGTAATTATTTTCGTATTCAATCGCCTAATCCACCTTACATGACCATTAATTCACCCTAATCAACGCATCCTTCCGCCCCTTTCCGGCTGGAAATCGCTTTCCGCATTTGACATCAACGCGTCATCATTTGGCATCGTCACCCCGAAATTGTTGGCCAGCGATGATGGCCGTGGACAGAGATACAAATCCGGAATCGGATACGGATACACGGCGCCGGCGCTCAGGGTGAAGTCGGCACGCCCCTGGACAAAGGCAGCCACCCGACAAATGTTTCAGAGTTGATAGGAGCTTTGAAAGTGATTTTTTTTTAAAGGAAAAATTTTCTTAGTGAATGAATTAGTTTATCATTTTTTAAGAGTCATTTTTAGGGGTAATTTTTTTTAAGTTTAAGCTACTATAAAATGCCTTAATCTATGTGATAAGATATCTTCTCATAGAGTCATCGTTATTGACCATTCTTTTGGAAAAATCCCCTTGGCATTGTGAAAGATGAACTTGTGCCTGGTGCTCCGGCCAGGAGTACACATGCTCCGAGTCTATCGCCTGTCGAAATGAAATAATAATAATGTGCGTTTAAATAGAACATCTGTTCGGTCCACACTCGGCTAAATGGAGCATGACAAAACAGAAAACACACAGCCAAACCGGAGCAGGGCAGGGAAACTCCGGCGACATTCCGCGTGCCGCATATTGACGCAGGCGCACGGCTGCCAGGGGCGTCGTGATGCTCAGGGGGTCGGCGAGCGGTGATGAAAGGGGTACACACACACACACACACACAGGAGGCTGAAGGCAAGTGAAAACCGCGACGAGGCTGGAGACTGGAGGCCGGAGGCGAATCGAATGAATGAATGAATCCGCATCGCAACAAAAGAATAACAATTTGACAACATTCTAATTCGCCACGCAGATAAAAGTAACTACCGGGGCATCTCGGCTAAAGGGGGGGTGGTGTGTGTGCGGTGGCAGGGAAAAATACAGGGGCGGGACTTTGATTCCTATGGCCTGCTATGGCAGGCAGTAGTCAGTGAGGCGGCAAAACGCAAAGCCAAGTAAATATAAACAAAACCCACGCAGAAAATGCGAAAAATGAGCGAATTTTCCTTGCCGCACAGTCTGTGTATCCATCAGATACATAGATACACTACAAGGGTGGTGCGTGGCGGCTTTGTCTTCTTTCCTGCCACAGTGTCAAGTGTTTTTATTGCCCTTCTGTCGTTCTATGTAGTTGTTGTTCTATCTGTTGTTGTTTTTATACGAACTTGGCTCTTTGGATTTTCCGTTTTTGTCACTAAGTGCTTTTCAATATTTAACATATAGACAGGATAATCACAAAAAGAGGGTTAAAGGGTCTAGAAAAGGTGTTACTTGGGTTTTGAAAAACTTCGTTTTATTTTTAATATTTATATGATCTTTGACAGTCATAAAAGCGTCTTTAATGAGTTTTTTTTTAATAAGGATTCAAGAGATAGGTATAGTCTCTTATAAGACTTTATAAAGCATTTTTTTAAATATTTGACTAAAACATTTATTTAATATGTTCAGAGTACGAAACAAATTATAACAAACTATAATACCCCAAATATTTCCATAACAATAATCAAAAACTAAATGTTAATCACTAACATTAAGCCAAATGTCGATCTCCCGAGTTGAACCTGACACCCCTGAACCCTTTCTATTGTATATCTAATTATGCACACAATCGTCCCGAGTGGATTTTCATTTTCCCGGCACCAGCCAGAAACGAATTCGAATCAAATGGCCAAAAAGACCCAAAAGCACAACCACCCAATGAATTCCAGAACTGGGTGGAAGCCCAGAGCCCCGCACAATATGAGGGAAATAAAATTGGAAACGTTTAACGTTTCGGCGGAAACTAGTGAGCTAAAAGCAACCCCAAGGACCCGGACAAGTGGCTCTTGGTGGCTCACGTAGAGCGACTTGTTTAAACGATAATAATGAGCTTAAGCATGTGCCCAATGCCGCCTCGGGGTGGCAGGCCATTCGGAATCCGGGCTCTGGATTCTGGAGGCAGGACGCTGGAAGACAGTAGGCTGGCTGGCAAAGTAGCAGCAACGCAACGACCCTCAACGCCCGGCAGTAAAGTCATAAATTTGTGCACATTAGACATAGCCGTCGTCCACCCCCCTGAACCTTGCCATCAGCCCTCAAAACCAACGCCCCCACCTCCGAAAAGCCATGCGTTCGACGTTCATCTGTTTTTATCCGCCCGGGAGCAATATTCACGCACTCCACGCACTTGTTCACATAAAAAAGTAGAAGGTAAAATAATTATTCGACACTGCATGGTAATTGAAATCATTGTTATCCTGTGCCCTGTGTTGTCCTTCCTGTCCTTCCCTCACTTCTCTGGCTTATGGCAGGATTATTATTATTTTGGGGAGATTTGCAGCCATTACAGTTTGGTTTGGGTTAACGATTTTCGGTGGGGAGGCTTGTATAGAAGGTGTTAATTTTTGGAATTTCAATTATAATTACACGGAAGTTGTGCGAAAATTGCTTGCCAAGTAATTGGAATAGGTTTTTGTTATGCTATGGGGTGTTTTAATATAATACTCTGATATGTTATGATTATTACTTTTAATTTTGAAAATTATTATGCAAATGATGTGTGATTAAGATAGGGAGTCTAATAATTGTTTCTAGTTGAAACTATTGTTGCTTATTTAAATAAAAATAGTAGTTTTGTTTTTTTTATTAATTTATAAGACCTCTTATAAGTGCAAAATCAAAAAAAAAGACCGTCACTGGGCAGCGGAGTGGGGGCAAAGTATACTACTATCGATTCGATCAACTCGAACATTGCAACAGTAGTCGGGGAGTGGATGGCTGAATGGGTCGTAATATTATAAAAACAAATTCTGCTTTCGGCAAATATGAAAGTGGAAATGGCAAAAAATAAAAACAGAGCAGTATAAATAATAAAGAGCCCCAGCGATATGGCCAGAAGAGGGCCATAAACTGCGAACGGTTAGATAGATTAGGCCATGATTTGGTCTGTTGGCATGCCATACGAATGTGTGCATGATTTACGGATTCGTTGAGATTCCGATTTCAACTGCGGATTGGATTTCGATTGAGATTTGGATTTCGTTTCGATTTGGATTTCCTAGCCGAGGTGATAGCATATCAGCCGCAGAGAACGAGCGAATCCCGAGCTCTTTAGCTCCCATAAGCTCAACTCGTTGAGTGGCATTAGATGGCATTAGGGATTGCGTATCCAAACACTCGACAAGCTCCAAGCTATCAAGACAGTTGGTAGGACAGTTGTCCAGATAACAGATACCAGATCCCAGCCGTCGGCAGTTGTTCTTTGAAATGCCACCCAATGCAATTATATTATTTATTTTTACACTGCAAATCAATCAGAATGCCAATGCCAATGCAATGAGTGACTCTTCTGCCCCGACCCCATCCCCGTGCCGAACCCACCTTTTTTTCCCGTGTATTGCACCCTTTTCCCAGCTGCTTATCGCCGGGCCATAAATCAGGAGGCTATCTAAACTTTAGACTACAATTTTTTACCTTTTTTTCCCTCTTACTGATAAATGACATTTAATTGCCGGCCACAGGGAACAGACCGTTTTCACTTTTCTTTTTTTGTATTTTATTTTTATTTTTGGGGTACATGCCTATATTTAAATTTCTTAGATTTCAGTATCAAAAGGTAATAAAACTTTGTTCAAATGGAGATTCATTCATAATTTGCGAAACTCATAGCAGTGTCTGTGTATTTTTTGGATGGATGGTTCAAAGGTACATGCGAGTTTCTGTTTAAGCGATATAATATTTTTAGCCATATCGGACTGGGGCTCGTATTTATTGTTGTTATAAGCTGATATCTACTCTGGTAGCTTTTATGACACTACAAATTCGATATCGAAAATCGCAGTTTCTCATACTATCAGCAGCGGGATCGGGAGTTTGTCGATCGAGGCGACTCTAATTTCAATATCCAAACAGCAAACGTGACAAATGGCGGGAAGGGTTCGCCCTGGAAATTGATTTTTCTTTGCCAAACACACTGGCATGATGATAAACCTGGACAGACTGGACTGGCCTGAAATCGAGGGCATAAACAACAACTGAAATGTGAAAAATAAATGGGAGGGGAAACCATTCTATAACAGAGTCTTAATGTTGCACGAACTATATAGTCTGAGGTCTGAGGTCTGAGGTCTGTTGCTGTTTGTGGCCTTTTGTTTACTTATCGCTTACTTTATGATACTTTTACTCTTTCGATTTTACAACTGGCCACAGAGGATATTGACATGTTTAGATGTCGTTATGTATTTACCCAGCAGATCGTAAATCATAACGCGTGTGCGGTGTGTGTGCGTTGTTAACTATCTGCACTCCTCCCAGGTCGTATCTCTCGGATACTCTGTGAGTTTTTTGGGTGCATTCGGAGGGGATTTGGCTTTCTTTTCGATTTGGCTGATGGCCTGGCTTGGATATTGATATCTTTATAGATTTACAATGCCCAATTTTCGTCTACTTGTGAGAAGTTGAAAAATATATGACAGGCGATGAGTTGCCAATGATTACGACGTGTGTCATAAATATTTCATAAATATTGCTCAGATTTTCGTTGCGACAATTTGTTATTGATCAATAATGTACTTTGTGATGGTATTTATAAATGTAGGTGAGATATACCGAACCTTAAATACACTTTATGTTTATAAATGCTATTTCTAGGGTGTCTTAAAGTATTAATATCTTTCATTGAAAGTCCTTAGATCCAAACTAGTGAATAATACTTCCACATCTCTTAATACTTGAATGATAATGTCACCCCAATATGTATTAGATCTAATCTAATTGACAATATTCCTAGAACCTGATAACCTGGAGCTGAAAAAAAACGTGTGCATGTGTCACCGATTGACAGCCTTTTATTTATTCGTTAGGATATTTCGATTGCCTTTTTAATTGATTCCAATCGCTGTTCAATTGTTTGGTGTGATTGAAAAAGGCTCAACAAATTTATTGCTGAATTTATATCGATGAATTCGGCTAACCATATATTTATAACAAACACCTCTACAACCCGATAGGCTCGCCACATAAATCATTAATATTATTTATACACCGAATGTATAACGTTTTCTGATTTTCAAGGCACTCGTTTTGATTTTCGGTCTGATATCATTTGAAAAGTATTTCTCGACGAGGGCGTCTTCTTTGTATATTTGAGAATGAATCAATGCTGATGAGAGGTCTCTGATCAACTAGTTTGTGTACTTTCTGCCACTTAACCTATCGACCTTTGGCGACTATTAGTTGGGTCTTAGTCTGGGTCCGAGTAATTTTCACAATTTAACTTAATTCGTGACTCACGGAGTGGCGGTGTCAAAGTGTCTCGCTACGCATTAGACTCGCAATCGGCAGTGGGCACAATTAATTGAGTCATACGTGGCGTATGTGGAATATGAATGGAAATTAAGATCATCCACAGATGGGTGGGTGGGCTAATATGGTAAGATGCGACGAAAATTTTCGATTGACCTCAAGGGGCAAGGTTAGCCACGAGTTAATGAGATGATAAACTCATTATGCTGGTTTTGGGTGGGTTGATGGGAATTAAACCAACCAGGGAGCACTTTAAAGCTTAAACTTGTTTGGGATAACCTCTCTTTAAAAGTAATCAAGCCCTTAGACCCCAGAGATTTTGCATGTAAGAGATCCCAGCCATGGGAGGGGCCAATCAGTCACCGGAGGGCCAACAAAGTACGGCCACAGCGACCAATATATTGTCCCACCAAAGACTGCAAAAAATATTCCAACAAACAAAGCGAAATTCATGTTCTTTGTGGGGGTTTGGGGGTTTGGGGGGGAAAAGCTTGTCGCGGCAAACGGAATTGAAAATTCAGTGTGTGCGAACAGATGTGCGAGTGTGTGTGTGAGAGTGAGTGGTTTTTCCGCATATCCATGCCCGTGTCGGAGGCTAAAAACATATCCGTGGGATACATGTAATGCCGGTAAATGAAATCCGCTTGTCGCTGCCTGGATGCCACTCGCTCTCTCTCTCTGCCCCCAAAAAGAGAGACCAAAGAGAGGATGAGCAAAATATGGGGGCAAACACACACACCCATGAGTGTGGCAGGCTCCCATACAAACACTCATTCATTCATTCAATGCCCATATTTGAAATTCAACAGCGATGGCGATGACAACGGCGTCTGCCACCAGCTCACACAGATACTAACCCACACTATAGCATCATCCATCTGTGTATCTGGACGGCACTGGACTGTGTATCTACAAGTTTGTCCATTTGTTTGCCTTTCGCACCCGTATCCGTATCCGTATCTCTGTATCTGTGTATCTGTGGTTCAGCTATGGATTTTTCAATCCCCGATATCCATTTTCCTGCCCCATGTCCACACCGAAGATTTGCACATTAAGCGTCGCACACACACACACAACACACAGGACATTCGTACATATATGATTTCCTCACAAACACACTCACACAAACGGAATAATGAATATTTGCTCCTGCTGCCCCATGAACCATTTTTGTTTTCCTCATTTTCCCCCCGAACTCAGCTTTTGGTTTTTTCCAATTAAACTGACACCGAGCCCAGAGCCTTTCGGTGGTGGACCCCCAGGACTCCCGTGGTGGCCACTGGCCGTGGATGGCCAGCCATATTTAAAAATCACACATTATTCAAATAAATTTTTAAAAATTCCCACCCCGCCCCTTTTGACCAGCCTTTTGGGGATTTGTCGCAGCTCCGGTTGGGATCCGCGTATCATGCTCTCGGTGTTGTTGATTCTCGATTCTTTTTTCACGATTTTAATTAACTTGGGGAATATGAGATGTGGCAGGAAAGGAATGGGGGCTTTTTCCAATCTGCTGGTGGCTGCATGTATTTGCATTGAAAAATGGTGATACGAAAAAAATAGGAATACATCTATTTCATTGATTTTCAGATGTTTAAAGTGGCTAGAATATTTATATTCATAATTTTGAAACTATGTATATTAAAGATAATATAATATTTATCTGACTTTAAAGGTCTAATTTAAGAAGGGGCTATCTTTGTATTTTTTTTAAAGCTTTTTATTCTGCGGTTTTACTTTTAAGTTGTTTTTTGTTTGTTTGTTGGAATAATTTTCACACCCAAGAAACATGATTCATTTTAAAATAAAAATAAAACTTATATTTTATTTCAAGTAATCTTGTTTGTTGATAATTTGTAAAGGTTAAAGCTAAATGGAAATACTTTTTAAAAAAAGTTTGGGTTTTAGAAAGGTATTTTTTACACAATTAGACGTTATTTTATTAACCAAAGAATTTGAAGAACAAGTAAAGTCAAAAATCAAATATCAACGATAAAATCTTAAAATCTTCAAACTTTTGGTATTAAATTTTTCAAACCACAGCTTAAATTCATTATAAACATTAAATTTAAAGTCAAATTGCTACTCTTCTAATCGGGAAAACAATTGTATGACTTTTGAAAAGATTATATTAAAAAATAAATAAGATCCAAATAACTTTTGGTTCAAATAAGCTGAGCATAGTGATATATTCTAATAGTCTTGAAGCCAACCATTAAATAAAACATCTGGTATTTATTAATTTTAAAAAGCTAAAACCCAGTAAAGCGCTAAAATGCTAAAAAAGTTTACAAAAATTAAAAATTTTAAAGTGAATCACAAACAATTTCCATACAAAATATGTATCATTTTATCACATAATCCCATCAGAAACTTACCGTCGGAAGTGCGCTTCTTGGGCAGCACCGCTTTGAAGGCCGACATGGGCGCATAGTCGTGCGGCGACGTGGAGCCCGGCGGCATCTGCGGCTGCGGAGGATTCTGAGTTGGCTGGGGCTGCGGCGGCGGTGCCTGCTGATGGTGACCCAGGGCCGCGTCCACGGAGATCTGTGCCTGATGCATCCGCTGGTGGAGCAGCTGGGTGGGTGAGGGTATCGTGGCCATCGCCGTCAGGGCACTTAGATCACGCACCTGCAGCGAGGCTGTGGAGACGGAGGCAGCGACGGAGGAAGGCGTACCGGAAGCGGGAGTTGAACCGGATGCAGAGGCGGAATTAGAGGCCGAGGACGACTGCTGGTTGGTCAGGAAGGGACCGGGAAAGTCTGCCGCGATGGCCGGCTTAAAGTTGCCCAGACTGTAGTCCAGGGGCAGGTGATGCTGGTGGGCAGGCGGTGCGGCCGGATGCATCAGATGCTGACCGGAAGTGGCTTGCATTTTGGCCACATCCATTTCAAACACGGTTTCAAGTTTTTTTTGTTTTCTAATTTTTATTAATTTTAAAAATTTTTATTAACTTTAGCTTTGGTTAGCTTTGATGGTTGGTTCTTTGAATTGGCACTGAAGTGGTTTTTGGGATTACGCGACGGCATGCGAGTACGAATACGATTGCGGATTTCAATGGGGTTACGGTGCGTATACGCAACGGGTCACGGAAGGAAGTGTCACAGATTTAAAGCTGCTATTGGGGCTGCTTCTGCTTTAGATGCTGATGCTGCTGCTACTGCTGCTGCTAAGCGCATAACTGCTGGCTTCGGCGTCATCAAGCGGACTGAAACCGTAAAACCTAATCACGGACCCGTGGAACGCTGACGCCGGCGCCAGGCCGAGAGTGAATCTCTGCCGCCGAGCTTGGAAAACTCTGCCACAATCGCTGCTATGGCTGCTGCTGCTTCTGCTTCTGCTGTTGCTGATTCTGCCGCACTCTAACGTTGCTGCACTTGACTTTCTGCCGCGGAACAAGCTGAATTCTCGATGCCCTTATGTGCCGCCAAGTGTTGGGATTTTCGCTAAGATTTCGCAGCGACGTCGACGTTGACGGCGCTGTCGGCGTTGAACGGTGGTTGGGGAAAAAGCGGAAGGAAGAGTGAGAGCGGGGAGCGTCTCGTTGGTTTGTTCGTGATTCACCGATTTACCGTTAGCCGTAAACCGTAGACCGTAAACCGTTGTCGTGCTATCGCAACAGCGAGCGTCTGAAAGCGACTGACGAGCAGCGTGGCAGCGGCGTTCCCACTCAGCGGTCCCGTTATCTCAACAACCCTCACCCACCCCAACCACACACATGCACACAACCGCCCGCTTCCAATTGGAATTGCGGCAACGCAACGAAATGGAATCGGAACATGAACCACCATTACTGGCCCAACTCGGACCTCTCGCTCTTGACTGCTATTGCGAGAGCGACAGCCGTCCCGCTCTTAGCCACGCCTCCTTCCAGCTTGTCATGACATGTCTGGATTTTGGTAGCTTGTTGTTGGTATTTTTAGTGCGCATACCGCTTTGATTCGTTCAAATCAATGCGCCAGCCGAACAATGGGGTGGGCGGTGGTGTGGGTTTCTGGATGAGGTGTACAGGTGTGGTGGGGGATGGTGCGTTGGCTGGGCGCGTGTTTGCCGGCCTTTGGTTTACCTTATCGTTTCAAGGGGGCGGGCTTTTTGTATTTCATCTTTTTCTTTATTTTTTTGATTTCTTCTTAACCACCGCAATCGATTTGGCAATCGGTGTTGTCTTTGCCATTTGAAGTGCCCCGCCATTTAATTTCAAGTGGTTTCTGGCATCCAAGGTGCTCGATTTTCCACCCCCATCGCCACCATTGCCAAGAAATGCCATATCCGCGTCTTCCCCCAATCGCATTTCGCCTTTGGCAACTTTGACTTGGCATTCGCGAATGGTTTTGGCCTGCTTTTATGGTTTCCATAACTTCTTATGGCTTTATAGATTTACGAACTTGCTGGGGGATCTAATCATTTGGTTGAAGTTGGAAAGGAAATTGAATTTTTTAACACATTTTTTGCCCTATTCTGATCTATGCTAAAGTAACTATAAAGCGGAAGTCTCGCTCATGAAATTTCGTTACATTTTTTGTCCGGTTAGCATCCAGTGTTGTAAAGGGTAAAGTGAAGCGCACATTTACCATTTCAAAATATTAAAATATATTTAACCTTGGCCATTTTTGGCAAGCTTATTTAAGCAATACATTTTATGAATTAAAATACCTTATAGTTATTTTATCAAGTTCTGATCTGATATTTTCAAAGAGATATTTCTAAAAAGATTCTAAGTTGTCTTATTTAATAATCAAGTCTTTGAATTTGTATCTAACATCTTTCTATATTTTCTTCAATATTTTCTTCCTTCTTTTTCAAAATATCTATAAAGTTAATAGATAAATAGCTATCAAGTATCTATTAATATAATTCAAGTTTCTTATGGGATAGTTTTCATAAAAAGTAATGATAAATTACCACATGAGATCACAGATTTCTTGAAGATCTTCCCAAGTTAAGCAATATCTGGACTGCATATTGCTTTCTTCTTGTTTCATTTTTTTGTGGATTATTTTGAGAAAAGCTTTTGTGAACCATAAATTAGACAATTTTGACAGGCATCTAATTTTAAAAAGTCATGCATTTAATTGCGACATTAAAAGCACTGCTCCGAAAACAAATACTCACTGGTAATAGCAGATCTTTAAATGCTCCCCAAAAAGTCTGTTTCTCTGGTGTGGAGCACATGTCGCCTCAAAGTCGCTGGCTCCCCCCTTTTTGGAATTATGACAAATATTTACAAAACACGCAGGGCTAATGTTCCCATTTCATCGGGCGCATAAATAAGTGTTATGAGCTCCCGATTTTATACACTTTCTGAGGGTGTTTCAATTTATATAGTTTCATGATATTATATGAAAATTGAAGACCAAAGGTTCCAAGGCTTTGGAGCAATACCATTGGGAAACATCTTTAAAAAGATAGAAAAATTAAATAAAAATTTTACTTTGCAATAAGAGTATCATGATATTGAACATATAAACAAGTTTTAAGAGTATTATGACTTCTAATATGATCAATTCTTACTTTTGTAAGCCCATTCTTAAAAGTTTCCGTCACAGATTTGAATATTTGTGAACGCCCCAGATCCCAGCTTCCAAATTTTTTGTGTCACTTGCGCCAACATATGGCAACGATTTAAAAAATTATCCACTAAATTTAGAGCAGCCAGGCTTGAGTGCGAACAACTTAAGTTTTGTTCTCAGTTTTCCCCCCTACTTGGTGTACTATTTCCATTTCTGCTACTGTCTGCCCTAGATCCAATTAGAGGGCAACAAATCTGGCGGACATGTAAAGTCGTGAGAAGTGATTAACTGAAAGATTGAAATGTTAAAAAGGAAATATGAACTTGTGGATTAAGTGGAGGTGTTTTTGATGCAACTATTCAATTGGGGTCCAGTCTCTCCAGTTCTGGATTAAACAATTCATTTTGAAAACATTATCATAAATAGTTTCACTAAAATTACAATAATCTTAATCCTTTTCTTTGAAAAGGTTTTATGTCTAAACAAAACCCTTTTAACATATAAAATCTTTATAACTTTGTATATAAGGATCATTAATACCAGACATCATATATAAAGTAGTCTGATAGCTTCATAAGCTTTTATTTGAAAAATGCTATTTACCCACAATGCAATCGTTTTTAAACAACTCAAATCGTAACAACTCGATTGGATGCCATACTGGTCGGTTGTAATCAAGACCTGAAATGAAGTGAACTTTTACAATGGATAATAAAATATATTTTTGACATGAATTTTCAATCAGAATTTTAATAGCCCTTAATAATAACATGGCTATCAGTTATCAACGCACCCAATCGGTTATCACAGTAATTTTGGTCTGTTCGTTATACACAGAGCAAATTTTTTATAAATTTCTAAAGAAAATGTTTGAATTAGTATTCCTCAAAATATATTTTCGATCTGGAACCTCTGGATATTTTCGAAAACATCTTAGAAGCAAATACATAATTATATAATTATTTTTCTATAAAACTGAATTTCTTTCGGTGATCGTTCATGGTAACTGGGAGGAATGTGAGGTGCAATTCCAAAGGGTTCCCGTCCGTTTATGCAGCGTCATTTGGAGCCCCACACATAGAAGCATAGTGCCGCACCGGATCCGAATTCTAACCAAACCCGACCCCCAAACTCAAACCCAAACCAAAACCCGATACCGGCCAACGATCCATCTATTACCTCTGTGTGGTGGCAATAGTAGGGAGTAAATAGGCAATCGGCTGATTTCTTGCGTCATATCCGTGTATGCATGTATATGTTGGTGGGAACGTAAATCCACAATCCAATATACACTCACATATATATATAATCCTAAATAAAAAATACATATTGACCTTTCATCCGACCCTGACATAAATATGTCTCCTGCAAGAAAGTGATAAAAAGGGATCGCAGCAGGTCAATTGGTTCCTTTTTTTTTTCTTGACCCTTCAGGGTGGATTTTCACTTTTCTACGAAAAGGTTTTCTTGTGATATACTTACTCCTTGTAAAATTCTGTATTATATTTTATATTATAAAATTAAATTTCTGTACATAAGTCCGAGTTAATTTAAAATTAATTAAAAAGAATTGGAGTAAAAAATCCTTTTAAATGATATGCAACACCATAATAAAATTTTGGATATTTTTTTTAAATAATTATTTGTTCTTCATCATTAATTTTAAATTAATTACAAAATAATTATAATAAAATACATTTTTAAATGAACTGCAGCACCATGAATATAATTTTTGTAAATAAGCATTTTATTTTTTGTTAATCAATTTTATTTATTTTTTCACGATCCTGAATCTTATTTATTTTTTCACGATCCTGAATCTTAGACAGGTATCTTAAGTGGACAGTTGAATTTGTAGGGAATTAGGCAAACGGCGTATAAGCACCAGAAAAATTTTAGTAGTATGTAATTAGGCAAACGGCGTACGACGTAAATTTAGTGGCGCCATCTATGGGTCAAGTTTGTGTAAAATTGGGCAGCGCCATCTACCGTAATATTTTATACGCCCTCTATTGGCATAAAAGCAAACGATCATGCCAAAAATTATACTTGCCAGGATCATCGCCGTCTATGTTTTCTATATTTTCTGATATCTTGTCTATGTTTTCTATATTTTCTGATATCTTGCATTGGGTCCCATTAAGGGAAATATGCATGTAAAGAAAAGATCATGTAAAAATGAAACTTGCTAGGATCATCGTTTGCCTAATTACATACTACTAAAATTTTTCTGGTGCTTATACGCCGTTTGCCTAATTCCCTACAAATTCAACTGTCCACTTAAGATACCTGTCTAAGATTCAGGATCGTGAAAAAATAAATAAGATTCAGGATCGTGAAAAAATAAATAAAATTGATTAACAAAAAATAAAATGCTTATTTACAAAAATTATATTCATGGTGCTGCAGTTCATTTAAAAATGTATTTTATTATAATTATTTTGTAATTAATTTAAAATTAATGATGAAGAACAAATAATTATTTAAAAAAAATATCCAAAATTTTATTATGGTGTTGCATATCATTTAAAAGGATTTTTTACTCCAATTCTTTTTAATTAATTTTAAATTAACTCGGACTTATGTACAGAAATTTAATTTTATAATATAAAATATAATACAGAATTTTACAAGGAGTAAGTATATCACAAGAAAACC